CTTCTAATGATCGATTTGTTGAATTCATATTTGAAAATCCCTTTATCAAAACACTACTCGACGTTTGGCCAAGGAACCAGCGTATCGATAGTTACGTCGACAAATGAAATATAGTCTCTTACTATCCAATACTAATAAATCCCTTCTTGATCATCCACCAATCTTCATGTAGTTTTATGTCACTCAATCAATGTTATATTCGAAATCCTTAAACAGATACGTTTCTAATTTCATCAAACCTAACGATCCACACATAAGATTACATTATGACCTCAAGTCGAAACATGAGTTTCGCAATCTTCATGAAAGATAGTACACTGACTCTAGAATAATTATTCATGTAGAATCTCTATATTCGATCAACTTTTTTAAATAACATGCATCCACATATTTACTCGAAGTATCCCACACTTACGTTTGTAAGATCAATTGTTTACAAAAGGAGTACAATATTAAAAACGTGATTAGCACAAACTTCACTATCAATGCAATAGAAACCTATTAAATCCATTGTGTCATATCAAGAAATTGATAATATTGAAAGTCTTCTAGGGTCTTTTACCTTTATCTTCCAATGACCATCAATAAAAGTAGCATTTTTTGCTTTGGCCCTATTCATCTGTATCCTTGCATCCATTTCTGAAGTTAGTGAACAATATTTTTTCAGTTTCTTGGGCATGTCTTTGTAAACATTCCACCATTTCTCATGAGCCATGTCACTTGCATAAATTTGGTTTTTTAGCCTATCCCAGTTACAATCATAGTCTTGATAGCACGTCCATGGCTTTATACCAAAATAATGCACAGCATACATATCATGTGGGATTTCATGTAATTGATCATTAATGTCGTCGAAGTACTTGAATTGATTTAACTTCGCCGGAAGAAGATGCCACCATGGGAATATTTCATTAAGAAAACCCTGATCACCACCATTGTAAGATGCTACTGCAAATCTCTTCTTCATTAGTGTCTTAAATGTGCAAGTAGAGGGCTCAATTAGCATCAATCCAGAGTTGAAAATGTGTTCATGATTCCTAACAGCTGATAATTGTGGATAATTGAAGAACTTGTCTATGTTTTTCAATACAATGAGATCTGAGTCTATGAACATGACTTTATCATAATTCTTTAGTTGCCATATTCGAAGCTTGCTGTAGTTATATTCATTATATGCGTGTCTTTCCGAGTGAGAACTTCGAATTCGACGAATGGGTTTGATTTTCCATCCGGCTTCTCGGAGACCTTCAAGAGAGTATTGAGATATACTGTCAACATCAGCTAGCAAAACGAGGTCTTTCGTGGTGTTAGTTTGCATTATACTTTGGGCTAAAGCTATTGCACCACAGACATAGTTTTCTGATGAATGGAGGACAGTAACATAAGCTTCCCTTGGTTGGGGAAGAGTGTGACTTTGGCTTGTGTTATTATATTTTCTCCATATTTTTTGACCTGCAATTCAGTTATACATACCAACTATAAATTTGATCAAATTAAGGTTCCATGTAACCTTAATAGTGTTCTTGTTGAGAATTGACAATAATCATTAAAAAAAATTAGATGAATAGTAGAATGGAAATAAGTCACACTCTACAATTAAATTTGTGGGTTAACACACAACAATACAAAATATCAACATGCTTCCTCACTAACTATGATAGCTAACAAATTGTCTCATTTATAATAAATAATATTGAAATGTTTGGTAAATATAAATTGAATTCGACATACACGAAAATGCATAAACACGTCTCTAATTTCTTCACTAGTAATATTCAAATTTATCAAACAAAAACGTAATATTTCTTAATTTAGACCTTCACACAATATATTACATGGAATTCCCAATTTGTTTTAAAGTTATTCTAGAATGACATTCTCTTATGTATAAATTAATACAATTTTAGGAATTCATTAGCTAAAAATATTATCAATTTATGGGTATTCTTTATTTTTTCTTATCGAATCATTCGAATTCCATGTCTTACTAATTATCTACATACGAAAATCATATGGGTATATCTTTATTCTTCTTAATAATCATATACCAAAGTGAAATTCATTTTTCTCGAATGTGACATTTTCCATGAAAAATGTGGTAATCAAACATGGCCTTATAATCAGATATTTAAAGAAAACATGACCCCGAGCTTAATTATAATGAAATAATTTAAACATTATCGCCTGAATATATAATGAGAAATCGAAAATGTCCCAGAAATCTCACCTTGTTCTAAAATTGCAGGTGCTAGTTGACATGTTCCAACAGGCATGAGCACCTTTTGTTGAAGCCTTGTCAGTTCAGGTTTGTATACCCAGTAATTTCCTTCATGCCACAAAAGGTCATCACATCTAAAAATTTCCCACATAGGTGTACAAGAGCCAGTGAACACAGCAAATACTGAGCTATTATTCTTCCTCCTGCTTCTTACCAACAAATTGGCTACCACCAAATTCACCTGCAATCTCAACACATCCCTCCCTTCATCATCTCTACTACAAGGAACCCTAGCAAGAATCACATCCAACTCATGATAATCTTCAAATCGAGGCATCTGAATCTCTGGGCACTTGGAAGGATATTTTTCATTAATCCATACAGGAAAAAAGTCTTTCCACCTGATGTAATCAACCACCGGGTTGAAATGTACCTGATGAAAACTAAATTTAAATAAATAAATATGTCCTTCTCTAAGAGTTTAAGCGTGGAGTCGCTATTTATTCAAAATTGTGCACGTGTCGGACTTTTGGTAGGAAATTACTAAGGAAAAAATCTCATATCGAATAAAGATGAAAACAAAGATCAAAATATAAGAGATTAAGCTACTCTTATTAATAAGGTTGACATTTTAAGATAGAACCTTAAGTCTTAATATGGAATTAGAGTCCATTAAATTCCAACAACATCAAGTAAAGATGAAAACATAGACCAATATATAAGGGATTGATTACTCATTTTAATAAGGATAATCCTTTAAGACAAAACCCCGAGTCCTAATAAAAATGAATTTGGTGTGAACGCAAAGATAAAGACCAAATTTAAATAATAAATGTGTTGTTTCTCGAATGACTTTTTTCGATGAAAGGGTTCAGCAATACCTTCACCATGTTTGCTCTCCGTTTCAATTCGAGGTCTATATTATCAACATGAACTCCGTCAATGTTCACCAACCCAATGTTGATTTTTTCATCTCTGATATACGGGGCAACGACGTCGAACCATCCAGGTATTCTAAAAGATTCAGGGTAGGTAGCCTTCTGAAACTCATTGTGAAGTTGCCTGATATAGTTTATGGCGAGGAATAGGCATGCAATGAAGAAAAGAGTAGCAGAGGAGTTGAAGGGCATTGTCTTGGAGAGTTTTGAAGCCATTTTCAGCCTAACTTCAAAACTCTGTGTGTTTCTCCAATTGAAATGTGTTTATTTGTAGGTTAAACAGCAAAGGGAAGTGCATGGCTGCACGTTTTATTATTTATTATTTATTAAAACTTTTCTTCAATGTAAGGCAATTAAATATTCTCTTCAATAAGCCGGTAGCCAAATAAATTAACTTGAAATACGAAAAAATGCTTAAAAAATTTAAAAGAAAATCAATGTTTGTTAGCATAAGCTGTTCTAATTTTGCAGGTCAAGGCAAGGTTTCAAGTAGGTTTCCTTATGTCCCATTTTTTATTGTTTTTTAAAAATGATATCAAAGCGCGCAAATATTGTGAATAAAATAATTTATTGTTCCATCAATAAAAATGACACATATTCGAATATAAGAAAAAAAATGAATTTGAAATGTAGGCGAGATGCATGTTTCAAACAAAAAGTTAAATGAATAAATGTAAATGTCTAATATTCCAAGCATTTATATGAGGTAGATTAAAATTAATTGTTGACCTTAATTTTGATAAAAATCTAGATTTTAATTTGTATCAAACATGGACTGAATATTCACATTGCATACCATATTTTGAAAAATTATGCTTTACATATTACCTTTAACTAAAATCACTCCTGGAAAAATTTACAGATATGTCATTATAAATAGTTGAAAACATCAAAACAAACAAATTGCAGTCTCTCTCATTAAAAAAAAAAAAAATGCTTCCAGCGACCAAACGAAATGGTCGGTAAAAGATATTAATTTGTAACTGTTCTTTAGCGACCAACAAAGGGTCCCAGCTTGGTCGCTAATTCACCTTCATTTGAACGACATTAGCGACCGACTCGCGTTGCGTTGGTCGCTGAAAGGTTTACAATTTAGCGACCATACTTTGTCTTAAATTGGTCGCTATATCTAAACATTGAAATATCATATTTGATCAATAAAGGTTCATCAACAACAATCGACACAGAAAATGCGGCAGGAGTGACCAATTTAAATTGGTGCTAAAGCTTACCATTCAAAGATCAATGTTTGGTTGGTAAAGGCGCACCTTCAACGACCAAGTCGTGGTCGCTAAAGGTATAGATCTAGCTACCAAACATTGGTCGCTGAAGATTTCTATGCAAGCATCAATAACTAAGGTCCTGTTGGAGAGATTAAATTTTTCTACAGTAAATCAATTCTCATTTTCAACCACACATTCTTCAATAAAATAATATTTTCCATCACATCAATAATTTTTTTTTTCTTTTTCAACCACACATTTCCCATCA